ATTCACATTTGAAATTTAACCAAATCCTCCATTACTCACATATTTGAAACACCTTTGGTGGGGAAGTCTCTCTTCTCGATCGAACGCTCTATGGGGTAAGACGAAGTAATTGAACTCCAGGGAATTAGTGTTCTATTACCGTTTCTTGTCTTATTCTTATGAAAGCGATCATGCTCACCGAATCATGTTCGATGAGTACAAACTGACGTATGGCAGAAAAACTGTCAAACATTTTCAACTCAAACCAGTATTTGGGAAAAACGTCTGTGCATTTATTGCAGGAAAAAATTAATAATTCGTCCATTAGCCTGTAGCCTGGACTCAGACTTATGGGAATAGACATATAACATCACGTCATTGAAGTGTTGGTAACGCTCAAACGAAGTGTGACAGTGCATGATGAACAACATTCTGATAACTTAATCCCTTGCTGATCAAATTGTTTAAATAACCTGCTCAATGGTTCAACACTGTCCGTTGAATCACAGTGAGTGGGCAGCACAATGGAGTTAATCTTCATCTCCAAAGCCAACGTGATTGGTGACAAAGGTGTATGGGCGATATATCGTACAGTGCTAACGTAAATTTAACGCCTGGAGCTGGTCCGAGTAGCGGGATCGTAAGGCATGAGACTCACTAGGTTCACCCCTTGACCTTAATGACTAGCAAAGCTGAATGCTTACGGGCGCGGTCCGGAGAGGACGAGCATCCTTCAGCTAGTTAGCCGTGAACAAGCACTTCAGTACTACCCAATAAACGTTCGCGCACAATCAGTAGCGATTATGGAAGTTACGGCGCATCTGCTGACTGATTAGCAATCATCCCAGAAAGACCAGAGTGTTTCGCCGACAGTTAGAGAGTTTCACTTAGGTTAATGCCGTGCGCCTCTACATCTCAATACAAAGATGAGCTAATGTACTGAATCTGCGCAATCCACTCGAAAAATAGATCAACAATAGACTTGTTCATCGGCTCCCAAAAGCTTCAGTTCCCTATTGCCCAGCAGTTCCTCACTTGATGGTGTACTCTCGAGGAAGGAAACGAATAGCATTGTGAATACCAGTTAAGTTTACATTCCCAAACCTGGATCATCACACGATAGATTTACTCAATAGTGTGGCTACGTTCCCGGGAAGTGATGCATCTCACAAGTTTGTGTGGCTGTTATGCTGAATAAATAAGTTTAGAACCTCAATAGTGGGTACGTTGCTCACAGGCAGCGAATTGCTATGCAGTCTCCAAAAAATACATCGTTTGTCTGTATGAAGCACTACTGTTTGTTTCCAGCTCTAGAGGAATGACAACACCTCAAGTTAACGACAACCATCGGCTAAATATTAATGAACCAAATAAAAACTACTATGTCTCGAGGTGTAGTCACCAGGAGCATTCGAGAAAACAATGCCCGGATCTGGTACGAGTGTACTCTAAAACCTCCTCCGACGCAATATCTTTATTTCTACAAAATATTTCCTCAGCCACTTTGCAAACCGATGTTTCCGATCTACACTTGTATTACTTACTTACTTACTTACTTACTTGTATTACTTAGTGATATATCATATTTTATCTGAACTAGACAAAAAACATCTTGTGTGGTTAACTTATTATAGCGATGCTTTTGATACTAACCGGAGAGACGAACTTCCACCCCTTCTCGTAGACGTAGATGTTATCTGTCAGTCATTGGAATTTTATTCATCTGGGGAAGAAGAAATCTCTGCCTTTCCCACTGATATTCTTTAAGATGCTATTAAAATACTGTTTCTGTTTTCGCTGTAGGCATCAGAAATATTTGTTTCTTTACACGCTGACGATGACACCAATGGACTGTCATATTTCGACGACATCAACTTTATTAACTGGCAAATTGAAACATCACAAGTTTCCATGGGTCTGCAACTCAACATTCATGTGAACCTCGCTAGGGAGGGGCAACCAAAGTAATAGCACTGTTGATACCTGTCCGGATACACCTTTTTACGATTAGGCTTTTTTAATTTAATATACATTTCTTAAGTACATCGGTGTTATTGATAATTATTACTCGAACAGTATACACTAGTCGTGTAATAAACCACATAAAGAGGGCCTGATTCCTTTTTGTATGTCTTATATCATGCCAGGGCCAGTATGAGCAGAGACAAAGCTGGCACGCAGCTCACCCGATGGTGAAAGATTTGTACGTGTACGTGTTTAGCTATCCTCACATGAAAGTTTTCATGTAAGAAGCGCTTCAATATAACAACATCACTAGGCGATTTAGTGCACTACCACAACAGCCTCAAAATGGCCCTGATTTGCTTACTGACTGAGCAATGCAAATTTCTTATCGGGAGTAACCATTGCCACAGATAATAGCAGCAGTAGGTTCCATGTCCGCAATTGGAGCAGTTCTTACCACCCGATTAACGACACTCATATAATATTTTAAACAGTCGTGTCACTAATACAAGGTTAAATAAACAAAAAGAACTGATCAATCTTGCATAACCAAATTGCCCACTCAATTGTCAGAAGTTATTGTTAATTTAGAAAATTAGTCTTACTCGTCGTTTGATCGGGACACCACCAAAGCCTGATCGACAGGGCTCCCTCGGGCACACAATTTCTTTCACGACGTGCGCCCGTGAATATTCACATCGGGACTTCAAGTATAAGAACGACTAGACAGAAGACTGTCAGACACGCATGCCTGACGAGCGGCAAGGGCCGCGGGACCGGTGGTGTGCTTCTGGAAATTTCGTCCAGTCATTCATACGCTACTTATTATAAAATGTTGGATTATCAACACCAGTGATACATATATAAACTATTTTGCTAAGATGCAGCGAACGGATTCCGGAATCATGCTCGCTTGCAGTGTTGTGTCCATTTTTCAGGTTTATTTCGAGAAGTAATTGCCTTAAGTTTCGGTCATCTTAAACCGAATTAAATGGGGGCATAAACGATTAGGCGCAAATCGAATCGTTTCTTCTGAATTCATGAATGCCATAACGTGTGTTTAGTTCCTTTTCAAACATTGTGCTTTGATAAGAAATCATCCAACTATTATAACCGTGACATAACTTGAAAGGACAGTTGGCGGAGAATCAAGGTACCGGGCAAAAACCGTTGGCTCTTCCGTATTTCTCGTAATGACTCCATGGTCATTGCGACTTTGCATAAAACAGATACAGAGCACCGTAGCACAAGATAAAAGGATTACGAGATTCGATGATCACAGCCCTCATCAGACAGTTACATGTAGCACTTAAATGCAGAGCATCCATGTTCTAACACTGCTGTTTACACAGAAATGCACTGGTTTGACTGGGCAAATGGACGCGCAATGCTGAAGGTAGACGGCGTATTAGGTTATGCAGTAACGTAAATTGTTGACCGACACAGTGCGGATATGGTTCTTCGATTTACGATGCTTACCGATATTGATGATGACTGGAAAAAATATCGTGGCCACATCATGAACGGGGTGAGTATAGTAGGACTTGTCGACCTAGTTGGGTCCCAAACAGCTGTGCAGTGCTTCCTAGCTTTTCAGTTCACGCTTTATTTGCCATATACACGACGAATTCCCATTTGAAATTTAATCAAATCCTCCATTACTCACATGATATATATATATATATATATATATATATATTGTAACGACCTTGGCAACTTGCCATTCCGTTCGAGTGTGAGTCGTGTCCATGTCTCACTGGATCTTTTGGTTCATGGTGTCTGCATTTTCCTATCTTTCAGATTGTCAGTTCGCCCTCTCCACGGAAAACCTACTGTACGTCGACAGTTTCGGTCCACACCTAGACTCTGCCCACTTGCGGTTGTCTGGTGTACCTGTTCGCGGGGGACATCCTGCTGCCCACACGAGCCAGGATTAGCGTCCTACTAAGGGTGATTCATTACCAATTTTGCCGGAATCGCGTCGCCCGTACACTCTATGATGGAAAAGAACAAACCATTTAGATACGACGCCGAATGCGGAAAGTTACTTCAAACACTCGGAAAACTCCTTTGTTCAGCACCCATTTTGGCACTTCCCGACAAGTCTCCGTCCGCTGGATAGTTCATTCTTAACACATGCCAGCGACTCTGCAATCGGCGCAGTACTATCACAAATCGGGCGAGACGGAAAGGAACACGTTATAGCCTACGGGAGCCGATGTTTGAGCAAAAGTGAAAGGGACTACTGTACCACTCGAAAAGAAGGTCAAACGGCGCGGTGGCAAGAAATAAGCCAGGAATACGACTTCGACT